GGTATAATGCTTACTTCTTTCTTACATTGATAATCTGACCTTATAATGTGTGTATCTGGGGCCAATATGGGGTCTATATGGGATTACCCACATTAACAACTCTGTTTTGTATACATGGGGCCTATATGGTGTCCATATGGGATAACCCATTTGTGTATCTGGGGATAATATGGTATCTGTATGGGATTACATATAACTTTTGTATATGTGGGGCCAATATGGTATCCATATGGGATTACTTATTTGTATGTATAAGTTCATTATTGAATCCATAGTTTTAGTTTTGTGAACCAATCTGCACAGAAAGGATTACGCATATGTGCACCAGAAGCTTGTGTGGTATGGATATGATATAACCACATTCATGTATATTATGTTTATGAGTTCAATATGGTATTAATATGGGATTACCCACATGTGTATCTGAGGCCAATATCTTATCTATATGGCATCTACCACATATAAAATAATACATCTGGGTCCAATATTTTACCCATATGGGATTAGTCGCACTTGTATCGGCTTCAATGTGGAATCATACCCATTGCATTTGGTAGATATTAATAAGTATTCAGAAAATTAAAATCAGAATGTCATTAAAGTGTTTATTTGGGATATGTTAAACTTATTGGGCCCTCAACAGTTGTATTTACATGACAAGTAAACAGTCGCACATACAGGTGCGATTTACATTAAACCATGTTACAACTACACAGATTTGTTAAAGAGCATAAGAATTTTTACAGGTAAGGTCTTTTTGCAATTTCTTTATTGATCTACTTTACTTAAAAATATTTTCAATTTCCCATTTCTCCTTCATTAAAATTTAATGTTTTCGATTAATTAAACATAAACATTATGCAAGAGCTAAATCTGACTATTGCAGGTCTTTCTTTAGGTCTGAAATGTTATATAAACTATTAATTAGACATTTATTAAAAAGACCATAATCAACGCCCTCGATGGCATCTTATGAGTCCGAATTTCATTAGATTTGAATCCGATTTTCTGTCCAACGCCTTTGATTAACCGCAAAAATGGATAATCAAGTCTTCTTTTTATTATCGAAACAGCGGTAAAAATGACAATCGAGGTTACTGTGTATATGAATCAGATTGAAGCAATTTCACTAAAATTTTCGACATTTCCCATTTACATTATAATCCGTTTTTTATCTATTATATATTGTCAGCTCTTTATTTAATCTTCCATAATGTATTTTAAAGTCAAACAATTTCAGGGCAGGTAACCTAACAGGTTACCGCAAAGGCTGTCTGGAAATTATTTGTAGCAACCTAGATGTATTAATGATGAGACCGTCTTTGTATGTAACCTGTAGGAATTGAGAAGTAAGAGATTAGAATTTAATAAAATTGAGAAATGAAGTCTTTTTTCTTTGTTTTGTTTTAATTTATAATATTGAACATGAACATAACTTTTTAACACAGGGATCACGTACAGGGGTCAATGGCACAAAATTCTTGAATTAACAATGGATCGGAAGCACATACTGATATAATACCTGAACAAAATATCCAATCTTGCTGAAAATTGGTACAAGGCATGTTCGATCGACTGTCGATGTATACAGGCTAATCACGATGTCGGCCATTATCAATCAATTAAAAACAAAAAAATGCGTTAGATTGTTGAAATCGTAACTGGTTATATTCATGGTGATGCGACTATGCAAATTATAGGTGAACAAATTCATCACCAACATATCAAACTCAAAATAAACAGCATTTATAAAAATAACACTTTTGTACTTCTAAAACCAATACAGTAATAACAAATCAGAAAAATATTACTTAAGATTAAATTAATTTTCAAAAAGTATATAATATTATGAAGCCATACTTGCAAAGCTGCTAAAGCCTTTGCGCGCAATATAAATTGGTACTCCATAGGTAGATGATTTATTCTACTGCCGTACTGAAATTTGTTTTATATTTTAAATAAAATTAAAATCCAAACAATTTGGAGATCTTTTATTAATATTTTTAGATTACTATAGAATTAAGTGGTGCACTAATATATACTTTGCAGAGATTAAACAGATTACAGCAGAATTCTCCTTATCACAGACTATAATAAGTTTACCATGAATAAAAAATAGAGTTTGTTTATGAATGAAATTGTGACACATATTTTCATTTTAAGAAATATGTACTTCTCTCTACCATTCAAAATAAATGCCCGTCTCTGTAGAGCTTTAAAGCAAAAGAATCGTAATACATTATTCTTTAAGGAAAAAAGTCAAAGAAATCAGGACTAAAACTTATTATGAATACAGCCTGGCTGGTATAGGTTTCTTGCTAGTTAGATTTTAATGACTATAGCAGATTCTGTACTCAAATTATATAATATCTGACCATACAGCAGAGTTCATCAAGTCAACCGTGAATACCTGTCAGCGCGTCATCCTATAACAACCAATTTAGTCTGGTCATTGGTTTAATTTTAGATTCTGAACTGCAGAAGTATATGTGTATAGCAGCTAGAAACAGACCAAAGTGGTACACATCTCTGCAATCAGTTCACAAAATTTAATCAAAGGTAAATTTGTCCCATCCTTCCTATACTACAATATATACTTTTTGGTGTATCATTAAATTTTGAAAATTTTTGCTTTGACCTATAAAGGCTATATCTGTTACTTAACTGACTTGATCATTATATAAAAGTTTTATAATAATATGAGGATGGATTTGAATGGATGTTTCTTTTTTTCAGATATTTTGAAAATATTGGCAAATTCTGAAACAAGAAAGATGTCATTTCAAGAAAGGTGTCTTTTTACTTTTTAACTTATAACACGCATTAATGTGTGTCATGGCAATATATAGGTTTCTTGCTCTCGCTGGAAAAAAACGTCGGAAAATTTTATCAGCTATACAACGAAATACATATAATATGTATAATATTATTAGTCTGCTAATTAATTCCGGTACAGTCTGTCATTTATTTCTATATATTTGTATATTAAATGTGATTTGTACAATGATGTGGTGTATTATTAAGTCAACAATGTGGTTTTCTTTGGAACATCCGATGACGTCGAAGAAAGGTTTCGGCAGGTTTGCGTAACATACCCTCTAAAACCCTGCTGGTCCCTTATTGGACTACTACGGTATGTTCTCTGGTAATTTATAGTTTCTGCGGGGGCGTGGGCGCGATTTTGATGTTGTTTGGGCACAAAATGCCAACTGTTTAATGTGAGCGAGAAAATGGTAGCCCAACACCACACCACCCCACCCCACACGTCATACGTCACTGGTTGTCTGTGGTATTGTATTTTTTTTGTTTGTTTTATATCGTTGCTTTACTTTCGTTTTGTGATAACTGTAAATCTATAAGTAAATATAGAAATAGCTGAATTTCAAAAAAAGAGAATTTAGTTTATTTAAGTTGAATTGTTGTTTTAATCCGAAATTGGAAATCTGAACAAAAACATCATAAATATTTTAATTTAGCTGCACCAAACAGTCGATGCAATCTGTAACCATGGTTGCTCTCAATTTAGCCAAGTTGTCACATTTCAATGGCCATGGCGTACTTATTTTTGCTTTATTTTCGAAGATGTTTTGGTTTCGTATCTAGAGGAAGAATAACAAGTTCATGACGCTTTATACCTGCCGAGAAACACAATGTGCTAAGGAAACACGTGTCAGGGTGTCGTAGCATAACTGACACGTCTTTAGTTACGTACAGCACAGCCCGACAGTTGCGCAACTGATCATCCAGAACACCAGCCACGGTTAAGGGGAAATAAGCGATCATTGATCTCCTTGGTAAATGTCTGGCTAATTTGTCAACCCACATTACTTCGACGTCTGCTAAATTCTTAAAATAAACTCGTAAACAATTTAAAATAATTTCAGTCTTCTGATGACAAAGTTGGCGAGAAAACGACAATGTTTCTGGTGAAATGCAAAATTCCATTAGATTTTTCTTGACTTTGTCTTGTGGATTTTTAAATCTACCCCCCTGGGTCTGATTTTTAAGAAGGACGTCCAAATATTCCATGTTTGAGAAATATCCCAATCTGGGGTGATCTAGTATATTATCATCAAAAGAAATAGTTTTGTCGTTCGTATCGACATCTAAAACATCTCCGTAGATGCTGAATCTTGATTTATCCTTTTTGCTTATCAAGAGGGTCTCACTCTTCCTAACCTCTGGACTGGTCAGCTGTCTCTTTCTCTGATATTTTGAACACCATGCATTGATTTCAATCCAACTAGATTCATTTATTTTTTTGTCATTTTTTCTGATGAGTTGATAATCTGAATTCACTGGGATATATTTTAAGAATTGTTCTTGTTTGTCTGAAAGTAACGGGCGTTGATAGCTTGTGCGATTATATTTCTCCTCGCTCACCGTCCTCCTGGGCATGGACAAACTATCCGATTCTTCTACTGGCAATGCATCATTTTCCCAAGCACTGTGATTGTGATTTTTCTCAAATATATTTGGGCTTTTGAAGTTTGTAACTCTAGTTTTACCTTTTAAAGACATGGGTATGGGTGAAGTTTTCGGCGAATTTCTAAATGATCTTCTGCGGCGCTTTGAGTTTGAGCGACGTTTTAAAAATATAAATTTTCTGAATTTGATAACTCTCACAACATTGTTATTTTTATCGCATTTCCAAACACATATTATATTATTTTCTAGATTATCACAAACATTTAGGGGCCCTAACAAGGAATTGAATTTGTGCAATTTATAAGAAGAGGATTGCGTCGTCTGCTCTTTAAATTCTTGATCCTGCATCACTTTTCTTTCAACCAAAATGCCGATTTTTCTCGATTTTCTACATCTAAATCTTCTTATACTGGAAAACCTTTGTTTAAGTTTTCCTAGTAACAACATAATGTACAGATTATATTAAAAGTTTATGTTTATAAATTTTTGAAGTAGCGCGTGCATTTGTTTACATCGGTGGCGCTGTTTAACGACTTCCTGATTATAATATAACATAAGGGACCTAACTCCCAATAGATTTTATCTCTCCATGCTTTCTGAAGTTTGTAAACAATCTCTGGATTATTTTCAGAAAATCCTTCAAATTAAATAAATAAACATGACTGAAAATGTAATAAAAGAAGGAACCCGAATCATTCTACAGAAAGGTGATGACTACAAATCATGTATTGTCCAGAAAGACAGGTAAAAAGTATTAAGAGATGAAAATTAACAATTTAAAATTGCAAAAGTTGACCATGCCATCTGCAGACGCAGTTTAACTAATCCCATTTTTTTTTGTTTTTTTTTGTTTTGGTGGTGGTGGTAGTGGGGGGGGGGGGGATATATAGTTCCGCTACAAAAGCCAAGGGGTTGGAACAGTAGTCAGACTTAATGGGCATTATGGGAAATTAGATAAAGAATTGGCAGTTATTGCCATAATAAAAGTAATAGCCTTAGCCTAGTTAAGAAATAGAAAACGTAAATAGACTGCTGAAAATTTCAGTCAAATTGCTCCACTCTGAACCAAGATATTAGCTTTTGAATTTTAGGCTAGCCTTGATCTTCATTACAAAAGTCGGTATGATAAAAAACAAAGTCTCAATTATCCATTTTTATGTTTAATTATTTTTCAAAAAATTTATTCCAATCCGCTAAATATCGCAGGTTAGTGATGGCAACAAGAGTTGATAATGGTCTGCATTTAGTTAATTAATGTCTAATTAATGATTTACATGTAGATAACATTTGAGGCCGAAAGTAAGACCTGCAATAGGCAGAGTTAGCTCTCTGAATAAATTGAAACTCTACTTGAAATATTTTTCGAGACTCTGTAGTCATGACAACTCACGTCTTAAAAGTGCTAAGGACTTGAGTTGCTGTGAGGGGACATAGCTCTTAACATGCCTTATTCACCATGAATGGTTGACTCATTTAATGAACTGGTGACTACAACAGCTCTTGGGCTTTGTACTCAGATTCCAGTCCCGTGACTTGTTCCCACGTCTGCTAAATCCCATTACAATCATTCATAAAAGCATTCAGGAAGTTTCCTAAATGCTTTTATGAAAAGATGCAATGGATTTATTGGAGGACACAACAAAAAAATATCTCCGGAACTAAATTCCATATTGGATTACTCAAGGCATGAGGATAGAATATTGACTCAGATTATATAATCTGTTTCATTCTGTGACAATACAGCAAAGCTCCTCTCTAGAAATTGTAGCTGTCTTAGTAGGGTATTTGACCTTTTCACTATTAATATACTGTAATGTAGAGTTTCAAGAGATCCAAGATGTCGCACGTGGGCTATCGAAATTGGAGCAATTTTAGAATCTGAGCCCTAATTTTAGAATCTGAGCCCTAATAATTCTGGCAAAGTTTACCAGAATTCAAACCATTGTTTACCGTACAATGAAATATGGGTATTGTCATGGGTGAGACATTAATTCTGATATTTCACTCTTTTATTTTTTCAGTTTAATAAGAATGGCTAAAGTTCGATTTAATTTGAGTGGTTTGATTGGGACAAAATTTGGAACTTTGTTAAAAATAGAAAATGAAAATTTAGTTGTACATTCTGAGGGACAAACAGAAATCCAGCCTATGGACATACAAGGTGAAGCTTGCTGTCATACAATTTGAATACAGGGAATTGTTCTTAGTTGGATAAGGCACAGATTTTGGTGGGTTTTTCATTTAGAGATGCCTTCCCACATACAAAGGGTGTGATTTAATGATATGATATATTTGAACTAAAAATTTATTCAAACTAATTTATCTATCAAGAGTTTTCTTCAAATTCCTCTCAAAACATTTTAGTTGGAAGAAAAATACCCTGCGTTGCAAAAATCTATTTTTATCACCGTTGTTTGTCATGTTGGGGTTTGGATGGCAGTTAGCATGCGCACATTGTATCATAAGGTCTGTCATTGAGTCAACTGGCATAGTTTTGATTCCCCGGTTGTATGTGACAAGGAGTAGGGTGGTGTGTCCAACATCGTGGGTTTTCTCCGGGTCCTCGGTCCCCTTCCACAGCTAAAGGCCCCTACACGCAAGCGAATTATTGAAATAAAATATATTTTGGTCCCGAAATGACCTTGTTTTTGGTCAAGTGGACGTTAAACCCCATTTCTCTCTCTTTTTTTTGTTTGTCATGTGACTTGACTAAGGGAGAATCCATTCCTAATTTGTACCATAGATATCGAACCCTAAGTAAATACCAAAATTGTCATACTTTTATTGGAAATAACCAGAATGTATCATTAATGTTTTTACATATTAAAAGTTTTTTGGGTTTTTGTTTTTCTGAAATTTGTTTTATTTCCTGTTTTTCTTTCTGTAAAAGGCTGTAGTACAGATAGAAGTAATAAAGAATTAGTGGAATCAGACGAAAATCAAAAGATTAAACAAGAAGAAATACAACAGATGAAAGATTCAGGCATGAAAGGGGAGGTAATTCCATTAATCTTTATAAGGGGAGATAATTGTTAACTTACCTAATGATGATTGATGTTAAGAATGGTTCTGTTCACATCTGGAGAATTGTACTGAGAAAATACCATGTGCAAAGAAAAGATAACTTGGGAGAAAGTCGATGTTATAGACTTATTGCTTTCAAATTTAATGATCTGACTATATGTTACTATTATTCATAGATAATTGATGATAACTTAATTCACAGTACTAAAATTATACAATAAATTATTAAAACAATCTATTTAATGGGTATAGCAAAATGTAGGGTACTAGCCTACAATCTATAACAATCTGATACTCATGGTTGGACAAGATTTTTTTTTCAATTAGCTATACAATACATGATATTGATTATGTTATTGTTTAATACTTAAATATTATTATATTTTAGCAAATAGTAGACAAATTGGTAGAAAACAGTCAAACATTTCAAAATAAAACAGAATTCTCGCAAGACAAATATATCAAGAAGAAAAAACAAAAGTAAGCCATTTCTTTTCCTTACACAATCAAGCATTCTTAAAAGATATATAACAAGTACATAAAGTATGTTGAGATGTGAGAAAATGACTCTAGCAGAAATCTAATTAAACACTTTTCTTGATAATGCCCTTTTGACTAATAAAGAAAATGAAGCAAACAGGGCAGAGTGTAGAATGTCATGCCTGGAGGTTCTGTTCATGATAACATGGGAGCCATGGTGACTCAGTGAGTAAGGTGGTGGTTTGAAAAACCAGGAGGACCTAGGGTCGATCCCAGTGTTGGACGAGAAAGTTCCTTTTGATGTCTTATGGCTTAATCAGAGAATTCAGATGGTTTACTTGGCTTTTTAGATACCAGTTTCAGAGAAGGGCACCCATCTGTGTCTAGTGAGTTAGTCAGTTAGTTAATTTGGCGTAGTAAGTTAAGTCAACAGATTGCATGATATCACACGATAGACTAACTTACTATAAGGCAGCAAATCATTATGAAAATGAAATGGAGTTGATGTTCTAATTAATGTTCTGCTCTCTCCGGGCGAATGAAGACGGGTGATCATTATAAGCTGCACAATACATGTAATGAAGCCCTGGTTTACAGATTATTGCCCTAAGATTGTCCTAGTAAAACTATTCACTAAATAAAACACTGCTTTGAATTTCAACTGCCAAGGGTTCTTTTATGTGCATGCCACTTTTACAGACAGGCCTCGGTTTTTCATCCCTTCCAAATGACTAGAGGCTTTTCCTTGTCAGACCCCCTGTCTTGCGTCACTGTCAAGTGAAAATCATAGCAGCTTTCTCAACCAACACCTGGCTTGAACACAGTACAACTATTGGCAAACTTATAAAGAAAGGTATGTTAAAGATACATTATGGGAGATTCGGTAACGAGTTGGCAGTTCTCACTATAATAGTTAAAAACTAGATAATGTAAAGGCAAGTCAGTACGATAAACAGCATAGTCTCGATTATCCATTTAATCGTTTAATCGAGAAGGAAAGTTATGCAGTAAATCGGCTTACAATCCACTAAAGATCGCAGGCTAGCGCTGCCATCTAGAGTTGATTATGGCCTAGATAGGTTAATTAATGTCTAATTAATAATTTAGATAACATTTCAGGCCTAAAATAAGACCTGAAATAGGCAGATTTAGCTCTTGCATAATGCATGTTTAAATTATCAAGCATTTATTTGTTTTGTAGACACATTCTGTTGGTTCGTGTTTTAAAACCTACAACACGATTAGTGTTTAATCTGTTTTACAATCGAAACCCTGCTGATATTGGGTAAGTATAACATTAGATTTAATTAAGACAACACCAGAAGTTCATATACAAAGTGTTTTGAATTCATACATGTCTACAATGGCACTCATAGTTCTGATTTTGTAAGAAAAAAAAAGAAATTATTCCAAATGTGATTAGACAGCTGAACCTTAAGACTATCGATTATAAAACTATCTACTGTCAGAACAATCAGTATTAAATATAATTTAACATCCTATCCACACATTGTTACATCAAATGTTTCATCTTAGACAAAGAGTGTTGCAGAATATTGCTTTGAAGATACATTCCCGGGTACAAACTGCGTGATTTGATGATATATTTGGACTAAATACATATTCAAACTAATCAATCTATCAAAATTTTGCTTCAGATCCTTCTCAAAGCATTGCATTCGACAGGGAATACTCCTGCTATAAAAATATATATTAAAAGAGGTCATGTTTGTGTCACGTGACATGGATAACACAGTACCTAGCAACGGGTGCGAAGCTGGAGGAGAATTCATTGCATATACAAGATGATGTTGTCTTTAATCACTGTCCATTTATTATAAATATCGAAGCCTAATTAAATTCTTGGATTATCCACTGACCACGTCTTTTTCTGTGGTTTTTATCTCAGAAACTGTTGTACGCTTATGCTCAACATCTATTTTAGCAACATATACATCAAGCACTCACTAACGCTAAGAAATCAGACAATCTTCGCGAGCAACCTTTGACATCACTGGAACAGACATCTGTAATTGTCGGGTTGCCGGTTAGGTAAACTCTTACATTTTTGTCCTGTATGCGCTCTATGGGTGTTTTTCAGGGAATCCAATATTTTTCTAGTAAGATTCAATGTTTCTACTTATATACCAAAATTGCCATACTTTTATTTGAAATAACCGCCTGAAAAATACTTTTGTGGGAAAGTAGCTTTAAACCAATACGCAATATTCTGCAACACTCTTTGCCATCTTGAATAAAATGTCTGAAATCTCACCTTTCTCTGGTTGCTGGTATCTTGTAAATTCTGAATACATTTGTGAAATCCCCAGTCAACTAAACAGTATTATAATATCAGTTGTTTTGAATATGGGTTCCCGAATACAAACTGGGTGATTTAATGGTATATATGGACTAAAAACATATTCAAACTAATTAATTTGTCAAAATTTTGCTTCAAATCCTTCTCAAACATTGTAATTGCGAAGGAATGTCCTGCTATAAAAATTCGATCAAACTAGGTCATGTTTACATCATGTGACTTAACTCTCTTGGAAGTCAGAGGAGAATTCATTGCATACCTAAGACAGTGTTGTCTTTAATCGTTTACTATTTATTACAAATATCAAATCCTAATTAAATTCTCGGATTATCCACTACCCGCGTCTTTTTGCTTCATTTTTATCTCCGAAAGTGTTGTACGTCTAACTCTTCATAAAGTTTATCAGCTTGTACATCAAGTGCTCAATGTTCGCATGTGACCTTTGACATCACGCATGCAGAAATTCCTTATCGTTGGGCTGTTGATTGGGGGAATCCCTACATTTTTGTCCTGTATACGCTCCATGAGTATTTTTCTAGTAAGATTGGATATCTCTACTTTCCATATATACCAAAATCACCATACTTTTATTGGAAATAACCACCCGATAAATACTTTTTTGTGAACCCATCTTTAAATGACATGAGTATTTGATTATGATGTATATTTAAGGTATATGAGAGTAGACACGTATTCACAGATTTTATCATTTGCTAATTTAATACCTGGTAGTAATATTGGTATTATTGATACATATAGAGGTTTATTGGTGGCTGCTGCTTTAGAATTATTAGGAGGTAAGTTAATGTAATAATTTTTTAATAGATGATAATCATGTATAATAGAGAAAAGTCAGTGCCATATTATCCTTAAATCTGAGGTGAGCCTAGGAATCTAGGAATCCATCAATCAGCACAGAAAAGTAGGATGTTAGACCCCATGTCATTTACTTAGTATCACTGACATATAGATCTGTATCCACTAGACATAACAACAACAATATACGACTAAATATGCCAGTCAGATATGAAAGCTTTCTAATGACATCAGTCAGATCTACTTATATTCCAAATTTCAAAGAAATTAACAAATTCGTCTCAACTTCCGGGACAAAATCACGGCAAAATCAAAGAAAAAAGAATTTGTAAAATAGGTAAAAAAACAACCTTACGACTGTATTATTAACTTTTTTGTTAGTAAAATTCGGTGATTTTGGATTTGTAAAACGTTTTAAAAATATATTTATTCCAAAGCCACCACCAATTCATGCGGGTGGGGGTGCAAAGTTTCAAAGAGATCCTATGGTTAGATCCTGAGATATAAGCTTGGCAGCAAAAAAAAAAAAAAAAAAATAATATTAATATTAAGAAAAACAGTAAGGTTTCATATGAAATATGAAAGCTTAAACATACATTATGCAAGAACATTAATTAACCTATCCAGACCATAATCATCTCTCTAGATGGCATCGCTAGCCTGCGATCTTCAGTGGATTATGAGCCGATTTACTGCATAACTTTCCTTCACGATTTAACAATTAAATGGATAATCGAGACTATGCTGTTTATCGTACTGACTTTAGTAATGATGGTCGAGGCTAGACGGAAATTTCAATCGCTTAGTTCTCAGTTCATAGTGGATTTTAAATTGCCTTTACATTATCGAATCTCCCATAATGTATCTTTAATGATGTGATTGTATGTTTTGTTTTATTCTAGGTACCGGTAGTGTAATACAGTTAATACCAGATAATATATTTCTCAAGTGAGTTTATCTTTTCATACACCCTCATCCATAATTCTTGTAAAAACTCTACAGGTCTGAGTTTTTAAAAAAATTTTGAAGACTTCATTTAGAAAAAAGTTGCTGTCATTGTTCAGCTGTACATAAGGAAGATGGCTTTTGGAATTCGAAAAAAGCAATTTTGTGTTGGTTTTTTTTTCACTTCTCCCAAACTGACGTATGTTGGTTTACAAGTAGTGCTAAGATTTTTTTAGTGGTCTATTAAAAATCATTATATCTTCAGCGTTTTATAAATACATTTTTGGGTTCATTTTCTTGAATGTACTTGATAAGAGCAGTAAGGTTGTTTGTCTAATCTCATGGAATTTTTTTATTTTCAGAGATTGTTTAAAATATTATAATTTATCAGAAGAATCATTAGAGACTCATTATCATTATAATATTGAAAATCTAGCTACATTAGAAGCTGAAATTAATAAAGATGATACGTTAGATCCCATGGGTAGCTCGGCTACAACTTCAACAAACGTTGCTGATATGGAGTGTGAATCATCAGATAATTTAGTCATAGATGATAACCAATCAGCAAATGGTAACGATGCAACCAAACCTGAGACAGAAATTAACAACAGAAAACGTAAACGAGTAGAAAGACAGAAAAAGGTATATGTCATTTTAATAGTTTGTTTTTAATTTGAATTTTGGTTATATTGTTCCTAATGATCAATAATTGTATATTTTTGTATTGCTTTATCATGCCACATTGCATGAAGTTAATAGGAAAGGATATTGAAATGGGCCATGTATGTCTGTCCATGTTATATTTCTGGACCATATATCTCATCATAAACTGTAATAAAACTTTGTACGCTCATCAACCTATTATAATAGTTGTGCTTTTTGTTAATTAGACATTTACCTTTCATTCTGTCATTACGAAACACACTTCAACCTGATGTGTTATTTGTACCTTTTGCTAATTAGAAATTTCTCTGTTGAATATTTTTTATGTTTCCACCAAAGCAAATCTTGTCTGATGTACTATAGGCTATACATCTTAGAACATATACACTACCGTTCTAGTATTTGGTTGTTGAATGCCAATAACACAGAGATTGTCTATTCCTTTGTTTCGAACATGTTGTTGATGACTTGAGTGTTCTTACATAATTTACATTCGTATGTATGATTTGAACTTTTCACAGACACCCGAAGAACTGGAAGCTGAAAGAGCACAGCGTGTCAAGAATTCTATAAAAAGAAAAAAAGCTCAAAAGATTTTACTAGATAAAGATTTAGATGGGTAAGTAACCAATTTGAAAAGAACAAATCTTTTGTAGTTTTGACTTCCATCCAGTCAATAATCACTAATCTATTACATGTGCTCAATATTATCTATTGATTGAACAGTTTGGAAATAATCACTCGATTCCATACACTGTAAGCCAAGTATCATTTAATCTTATAGCACTAATTTCTTCCTCATATGTTTTTTATTAAATTTTTGTTTAAAAATTCGTAAAAAACGTTTAGAATCACCATAAACCATCTAATTTGTACTTGTGTCCAGTTTAAAGCTGACCATTCAATTTTGATAATGAGTGTCCAATTTACAAGTGTTTAATTTCTCAATCATTGTTAAAAAATAAACAACCCAATGGATTAATGATGTATAATGATTAATCTTTGGACAGTGATCCGGAAATTAAATACTTGTAAATTTGACACTCATTATCAAATTTAATCAGTCAGCTTTAAACTGGACACAGGTACAAATTAGATGATTTTTGGTGATTTTAAATGATTTTTTAAACAAAGATCTGATATTAAACAAATGTGAAAGAAATTAGTGCTAGATACACAAAACTAAATGATACCTGGGTTACAGTGATAACAGCATATATTGTGTAACACATTACATTAAAGGAATTTCATTCTTCAATTGTATGATTCCCAGGTTATACGTGACACTGCGTGACAAGGAGTAGGGTCGCCAGTCCAACCTCTTGGGTTTTCTCCGGGTCCTCCGGTTTCCTCCCACTGCTAAAGACTCCACACATAAGGGCATTATTGAAATAAAATTGAACCATATGTTAGTCCCAAAATGACCTAGTTTGTATTGAGTGAATGTTAAACCCCATTTCTCTCTCTGTCTCTCATCAATTGTATGAGGAATTTTTAACCTTGACATTCATAAACTGTGGCACAAATGTAGACATGGAGTTTGGGTTGGGGACTTATGGCCAACTCAACATGGAAACTAAAGTATTTATTTCTTTGAAAAAGTATCACAGAGCTTCAAATATTTGCACAGGATTATGGGTTTGTGGAATTTACCAATTTTATTTGCTAAAATTATGTCTTGGACTTCTCCTTTAAACTGCAGATGTTTGATGATGAGCATTTCCTGCTTAGCCCAATAATATTTTCCACTGCTTTATGATGCTTGTAATTAATGTATAGATTCATTACATCAATATCGTGACTAAATTTGATAACAAGCCTTTTCTGCTCAGGTTTGACGATAAACAATGTGATTTCTTTATGTTTTATAAAAAAATTAATGTGCAAGTAATTAATAATTTGGTGGGGCTTATATGAGGCTACCATCCTTACCATTGTCTTGTTAATGCTACAGACAAGTGCGATGAGTAAAAGCAGTGGAAAATTAAATTTGCCAAATTAGAATATTTCAAATTCTGTTTCCTAAAGCAATTAGTATTTTAATGAAAATGTGCAGAATTTGATAAACGAAAGGTTAATGTCTCTAGTAATATATGCCACATAGAGCTAGCTATAATAACTGCTGAGAGGGGTTGCATGGCTATAATAAATGCTGAGAGGGGTTTGGTGGCTATAATAACTGCTGAGAGGGGTTGGGTAGCTATAATAAATGCTGATAGGGGTTGGGTGGCTATAATAAATACAGAGAGGGGTTTGGTGGCTATAATAACTACTGAGAGGGGTTGGGTGGCTATAATAAATGCTGAGAGGGGTTGGGTAGCTATAATAAATGCTGAGAGGGGTTGGGTGGCTATAATAAATACAGAGAGGGGTTTGGTGGCTATAATAACTACTGAGAGGGGTTGAGTGGCTATAAGAACTGCTGAGAGGGGTTTGGTGGCTATAAAAACTGCTGAGAAGGGTTGAGTGGCTATAAGAACTGCTGAGAGGGATTGAGTGGCTATAAGAACTGCTGAGAGGGGTTGAGTGGCTATAATAAATACAGAGAGGGGTTTGGTGGCTATAATAACTGCTGAGAGGGGTTGGGTAGCTATAATAAATGCTGATAGGGGTTGGGTGGCTATAATAAATACAGAGAGGGGTTTGGTGGCTATAATAACTACTGAGAGGGGTTGGGTGGCTATAATAAATACTGAGAGGGGTTTGGTGGCTATAATAACTGCTGAGAGGGGTTGAGTGGCTATAAGAACTGCTGAGAGGGGTTGAGTGGCTATAATAAATGCTGAGAGGGGTTGGGTGGCTATAATAAATACTGAGAGGGGTTTGGTGGCTATAATTACTGCTGAGAGGGGTTGAGTGGCTATAAGAACTGCTGAGAGGGGTTGAGTGGCTATAATAAATGCTGAGAGGGGTTGGGTGGCTATAATAAATACTGAGAGGGTTTGGTGGCTATAATAACTGCTGAGAGGGGTTGAGTGGCTATAAGAACTGCTGAGAGGGGTTGAGTGGCTATAATAAATGCTGAGAGGGGTTGAGTGGCCGAATTGTTTAACACATGCACTTTGAATCACAAGATCTGTCATTGAGTCAAGTGGCGTAGTTTGATTCCCTGCTTGTACATGACAATGAGTAGGGTCATAGGTCCAACCTTGTGGGTTTTCTCCAGGTTGCACTGTTAAAGACCCTCCCAAAATGACCTAGTTTTTGCCAAGTGGATGTTAAACACCATTTATCTCTCTCTCTCTATAATAACTGTTTTCTTTACAGATTAATTATTTCTAGTAAATTTCATCCAACACCGTTATTAATGAGGATGCTAGAGTTTATTAATCCTTCTAGACCTGTTGTTATTTATTCACAACATCAAGAGGTAAGAAAATCAGTGGCGTTAAAATAATGAATTATATCCAGAATTAAAGATAGATTCCTAAAATCCATTGAATATAAAACTTGTCTCTAATTTCTTACTTTCATTGATTTGAATATGAGAACTTTCATAACTTGCCCTTGTCTGTATGACCACCTAAATTTATCACAATAAAATTATAGAACTCCAGATTAACATTTATCAGCAAAGGAAATTCATTTTTTTGGTGTGGTACAAACTATCTTGTGCTAAAATCATACAAACTATTGAGATTCACATGCATGATTTTATATTACAATGTGTGTCTAGTATATAAAACATGATTTATTATTTAACAGCCATTGATAGATTGTTACATGAAAGTGAAAGGATCAGGAAAGGGAGTTAATCTACAACTAACAGAAACATGGTACCGAGAATATCAGGTAATGAAACCAAATCAAATTCTCCTTCTCGTCTATAATTCTTAATTGTGTTCTTTATTTTTTGGACTTTCTAGAATCTTTAGTTTTACATAGAGTTAGACAATGAATGACCTGATTGCCAGCTGTTTTGATTACATAGGAGGTACTTTCTATATAGTAGACAGGTTTAAAGTACATTCAGATTTCAAAACAAGAGAGGTATATTTTAACTATGAACAGGGCTTTATTGATAGTTTAAATGTACATTCAGATGTCAAAATAAGAGAGGTATATTTTAACTGTGAACAGGGCTTTATTAATAGTATATATTATAGGTAATTTTCTCATGTTACAGGTTTTACCACAAAGAACTCATCCTGCTGTTAGAATGACTGGTAATGGTGGATATCTTCTAACTTTTACAACTGCTGATGCATCTTGATATAAATAACATCCAAATACTATCATCATCATCACACTTATGTACAATCATAATATTCAGTCTATTTTGAAAAACCTTTATTTAACTATCTGTGAGAAACAGTATTGTATATTTAAGGAACTAATCCCATTTTATGTTAATCTACATGCAATAAAAATAAGTTGGAAAAGAACCTAACAAATACGAAAAAGCAGACAATATGGTTGGCAATTGTCCTGTCGGCAGATGTACTTGCAGGAAGTTGTCTGCCGGTTATTGTCCTGCTCCCTGGTCTACTAGTAAGCGGGATGGATATTGAAATGGCTTTCCATCTGTCTTCTCTTCCATCCTGGGTATTGTTTCCAGAGCATTTATTTGGGGAATTAACTTAACATCCCACTATCATCATTCTGTAAATTTATATCTTGGAAAAACTGTTCAATTCTAATGGTCAAAACAGAAGGAGCTACCAAATTTATTGTAGGATGGATTAAGAAAAACATGCATCATGGCACTAGTTATGTTGATTACAGAATATTCATTATTGGGTTAATAGATTACAATTGTGTAAAATAAACACAAAACTGGTATTCAATTAAAGACACATCAATCTCAATTTCGACAATAAATATCTGTGGAAAAAAGGTTGATTAGAATCTGTGGTATCATTTGTTTCATTTACAGGAATTGAAATATTTTCTTACAGATAAAAAATGAAATATATGACTGTATTTATATGATTAGGCTTTGAAATAATCATTTGTTGTATTTTGTTATTCATTGTTTGTAATTAAAGTATGATTTGTCTATTTAGTTCTAAAATCAATAATTATTGTTCCCATATTATTTGAAAATCAACAAAATTGAATAATAGTTTACTAAACAACTGTATGAACTTACATATTCAAAATGTTCTTCAAATTCCTTCTGCTTCGAGGAGCCGTTGTGGTTCAGTAAGGCACAGGCTCGGTCACATAGAGGTCCCATTTTCAGTCCCGATGTTCATTTAGAAAGTTTCTATGGATTTTTGGGCATGGTTTCTCCCTTGTCAATGACACAGGATCTGGCAAACAACAGCGTCTTGTTATTTGGATGGGTTGGAAACCTCGGGTCCTATGTACCCATTGGCATGCATGAAATAGAACCCTTGACAGTTGGAATCGGAAATAAGAGTAGATCATAGCCCTTGTAGTAGATTTCCTTCTACTAAGATACTTTATTATATTAGCACCTTCCTGTTGACATCTGTATGACATTCAGAGTGGTCACCGATATATTATCTCTTGGCATTAGCTTGAAACAGTAAGTCATGACAAATACTGATGTTATGATTTATGTTATTGAACAAAATATGAAAGTAATTGTAATGTAATCGACCCTATGTCTATACATTTATTTAAGATTACTAGTATTCTCCAGTCTGAGAATATAAAACTTGTAAGAAAAGGGTTCGAAACCTGAGAATCTCTCCTGACCAGAGCTCGGGTGTCAGTCTTTTTTGTGAAAATTACCAACTGAAGAATTAACCTGACAGTCTGCCAGTGTACATGCCGTAAAATTTTAATTTATCACACAATAAATACAGTTAAATTTATAGTTGCTATGGGATATTGCTATGTTAACCAGCGGTTGCCAGGCAAGAAACACTCACATTTTGCAAGAGGTAGAGATAGAGAACAAGCTAAAAAAAAAAAAGGAACCAAGATCTTTGGGTAATATACATACATTTCAAGTTTCATTAAAATTGTGCCCCCTAGAGTGTCCACATGCTAAAAACGTGATTTTTCAAACAATCGGGGACCATAATTCATGAAGCTACGGTCCAATACATGCCGATATCGAAAGGAACCAAGATCTTTGGGATATAAATCTATATTTCAAGTTTCGTCAAAATCAGATAAAAATTGTGACCGGTATAGTGTCCTTAAAGTGATTACAGACAGGCGGATGGGGGCGACGACAATATACATCCACAGGAAAATTAGTCTTCTGACAAAATTTTTAAATTGGTAACGTTTAAAGTACAAATCCCACTTCAAGATACACGACAAACACAACTCATTTGAAAAATAATATTTAATGCAGGAAGCTATAAATATAAAATAATTCTTTTTTTACATCATAGAAAAGATACAATTTTCTTAGAAGAAATGGCTAACATTGATCTGAATTGGAAATTGTAAACACTATCCAGCAAAGTATTACATGTATATATTGTTCATTTATTACTTTTGAGCAGAAAAGACTATAGCATTCTGTTGATTAAATGATCAGGATTGATATAAGATTAAGAGAATATAACATACCATAATACTTAAAGATTTAGTCAACAGTATTATAGCTTCTTTAGATATTATATAAGCATATTAAAAACATAAGAAATTAAATGAACATGGTAGACTCCACTGATTTAATACTTGATATTACAATGTAACATGGGTCAAAGTTAAAGCAGAGACAGTTTATCAAGTTTTTCAACCCAGAATATATCATATAATCATACATGTGTGTCTCATTGAAATAAAATAAGGCACTTAATCTATTCACTCTACATAATCAATATTTTACAAAAAATGTCCAACTTTCTTGGGTTTCTATAAACAGCAGTAACCTTAATAACAATTAACATCATATCTACATTCTTTGTTTTGTCATAGTCAAATATATCTGCCTTAGGTATATTCATTTAGTTACCATGTATACTTTGGTCAGTCTAGACAATGGGCCATTTTCAAGGATTTTCTAGTTGTAAGAGTTGTTAAATATGCATTATATAAGAGATCAACATCTGGCCTTTCTTGATCGAATTTTGAAGTTTTGACAATAGTAATGATTATGATTACCAGTGCTAGAATAATAAAACAAAGAGTCTTAATTTTTAGTCTTTCAAACAACAGTCTCTGTGAGTGCCGTCCATTTTAATGCTTAAATGGACAATAACACTCTTACTGGCTTGAAAGCTCCAGAAAATAAATAATATCTCTATCTAAGTACTAGATGTTTAAGTGTCCTACCTGTTGTGTAAATTATCCATTACATCCAATTTTACTTGTCCAGAGGGCTCGAAAATATTTTTAAATTGAAGTTTCATTTGAAAAGGTTTACGTTAGACGTTTCAAACCATTATGTTGAATTTTTCAAAAATTTTAAATAAGGTGTGTTAAGATGAAATTTGTATCATCAATTAATTGAAATATTCTAAAATAGTACAATTTGTTGACCAGAATAAAGATTGGGACATACTATTCAGTTACAACAAGAGTGGTATTGAGCCTTCAATGATAATATGGTTGACATTGTCTAATCCACTCAATATCTTAGCCATCTGATTAGCTAGAGAGTTTAGTCCCGAAATGACCTAGTTTGTGTCGAGTGGACTTAAACCCCATTTCTCTCTCTCTCTCTCACCTGGAGAGTTGATTATGGGCTTGTCATGTGAATAAATGTCTCATAACATTTGTAGCTAGACGACCTGCAATAGGCAGAATTAGCTCTTACATAATGCATCTTTAATAATCAAATTTTTAAAAATAATACTGTAGGTTAGTGGCTATGATTGCACTGAAGTATGTCTTCGGACACTGTTTGTAGAGGTATATTGATAAGCTGGAGGCAAATATCTAACAATTTCTTTTATACAAAAACAAAACAAAGGTAGTTCTAATTATTTTACCCTATTTTACCATACGGTCTTTGCTTCAAGTACAGCAAACAATAGTCTGAACAACATAGCATCTATTGTACATATAGTAACTTTGTGTTCACTTACTGGAAAAGTTTCAATCCATATCCAAGGTGACGGTCATTTTTCAAAAAAATGTATACATTTGGGTGTTAATTTGTCCAGACTATATTTGTTTGAGTTGAAGCAGTAACAATATAAGCGGACGTAGTAGAGATTTAACAATGGTACTAAACTTTCTAACAGCAGATTCAAATCCATTATAAACTATGGAATATTACTATTACCCTTAGAATAAAAAAAAAAGAACTATCTTTCCAACGATAGTTACTTTCTATATCCTTTTAATAATAACCCTGGTAATCATCCTGTGAAAGCTTCAAACTTCTTTAATAAAACAATTATATCTATAATGTCTTATCATTTTACTCTGTGTTACCATTACATACAAATAACTTAAAATACAATTTTTAGTAAAATAAAGACAAAGAATATTACCCACGTAAAACCAAACAAAAAACATCAAAACAAAAAACAACTACCGGTACATGACTAGGGATTTGAAAACTCCACACATTAAAATTAAATTCTCTAATGATTTCTTAAATAAATCTTAAATTTTGCTTTTAAAAATTGTTTGGAAAACATAATTAAAGTCTGTGATTGTCATTTGAGGGATTTTTAATCCCTTGTTAACTAAAATATTGTGAAAGTTGAATCTTTAAACATAATATCAGTCCAAAAATGGTTCAATTCCATTCAGTACTTACTGAAAATTTGATAACAAACAGCATCCTGTATAATATGATATGAAGGCTTATATGGTCAGACAAGACAGCTCTACCATTGATATTGTGATTTGGTTTTCTTGATTACAATTTTAAATGTTAAATAATCAGTTTGAGTACATTTTAGTTAATTGTCTGAAAAATGCAAATGTCAATCAGCAAGCTTTAAATATATTCACAAAATAAACAAATCCAATTACACTCAATTCCAATGTTTAAAACTATGTTAAAATAATAATCCTTAATAACATTTCATACATTACATCAATTGTAAACTAAATATAAATTGACTCATAGAAAGTTATAAAAGTTGAGTATTATTTTAAAACAAAAGAAAGATCATACAGCATAAAATCACATAATCATAAATATTTATTAAAACAAAAGAACTGTCATGATAAGCTATTGTTGACACAAAAAATACTGTCATGAAGGTTGCAAAACAGCCATCATAATAATATCCATGAAGCTAATGTCTGACAAAAATAAATACTTGTATACTGATAGTGGCCATACTGGAGGACAGACATTAGGTAGATCAACAAAGGAAATAATAACAACAATGTTATGATAATTATTACAAATGTCAAGCTGTAGGAATAATACCAATAAACATAGGAATAATAAAATAATATGTGATAGACAGTAGTAGACAGGTAATGAAAATAATAGATGATAGTAATAGTAATGGTAATAATAAATAGGGGATGAGCAGAAGTAAGGATAACTAATATGGAAATGATTGATAGAAAGTAGTAATGCAAATAATAGACAGAAAGTAGTAGTAATGATAATAATGATTAATAGACAGTGGTTTGTAGTATATATAATAAAAAGAGGATAGTCATAAAAATGATTGATAGAAAGTTGTAATAAAAGTAATGGTTGATAGTTTGTAGTAATGCTAATAATGATTTATAGTGTCTGATAAGATGATTAATAGAGAGTAGTAGTGGGAGTATTAATGATAGACAGTAGTACTATGAGAATGATAGACAGCAGAACTATTAAGAATGGTAATGATAGACAGTAGTACTATAAGAATGATAATGAACGACTATAATAATGTTGACATTTAAAAGAATAATAACAAGCAAACAGTAAGGCTGATGTCCCCTGCCGCAATCCCAAAATAAATAGATGACACATATTAATTAATTACACTTTTAATTTTATCTTTTTGAAAAGTATTGTGTAATCAAACTGATTAACTATACTTGGTCTAAGCATAAAATGTTCACGACCAAACTCTATCAAGGTTCTGAAGTACCTGGTTTTGAAACTATACACAAAGTTTCATCACTCTCCATCAGTTAGAATAAAAGTTATTGACCTCCAAAGTCTCAACCAATCAAATTGCTTACCTCTCGGCTAACGCTTAGCAGAAAATGATCATTATGTAACTTAGTCAAGGTACTGATGTAAGGAAACATACACAAAGTTTCACAACTCTCACTCAATTAGAATCAAAGTTATCGAGCTACAAAGTCTCCATCAATCAAATTGCTTATCTCTGCTTACCCTAAGCAAAAATGCTCATCTTTAAGCTTCATCAAAGCATTCACCTAATAAACACCTACACCAAGTTTGTACATTCTAGCTCAATTAGAAGAAGAGTTATTGTGTCTTAAAAAGTTGACAGGCAGATGAACAGACCCATTTTAATAGTCCACTGCTTTCTTCGAAAGGTGGGGGACAAAAACAATGGAATTTAAAGATCCTAAATACAATAGCATCTAATATCAAATGGTGTGTATATTGGTATACATGTATGGAACTTATAACCATCATCTAAAATCTAGTTTTACTTATTGTTAAGAGAGGCCACTATTGGCCCATTATTTTCTGTTAATAATTCTACTGACAAAATGTGAAAATACAGTGAACACACTTTAACATATATGAAACAAGGAAGACGGAAAACTGAACGCACTTTCTAAAAAATTAAAAAGTAGCAAAAATATAGGTGGAAAACGAGGATAATGACATAATATATCACAGAAAAAAGAAAGGTGTCATATGACAAATGATATCAACCAATCCGCAGATTTTCTTTTGGATCTCACAAATTATTGGCCTAATAATGATGATGAATCTTAATGATAAAATCATCCAGAAGTTCATCAATCAAAATAAAGCTTGCATTTGTCTGAACTCTGAACCAATGACAACACTTCTTAAATGTTTATTAGAATCAACTGGAAATAATAACCAGTTTATCTACGTTCCTTCTGGGCAAACAAAATGGTGCCTCAACAAAGAATAATAAAGCTTGTTTACAATGTAAACAATATGAATACTTTTAACTAGATAGTAACTTGTCGCGCTAACATGACAGCTGGTTGTAAATACTGTTGAAGGTGAAAAATAGCCAATGGTTGTTTACTGATCATATCTTCAAATGGAAATTTATCTGAATTTGCTTTCCTTGGACCAAAATCCATCTGAAAAGAGTAAAGAAGTACATAATGATAAAAAGTGTCAAGGTTATAATATTTCTGTACATCACATGCACATAAATTATAACGTCTACCATTGAGTCAAGTGGCAGGATTTCAAGTCTGCAGACATGTATGTGATAAGGGGTAAGGAGGTTGTCTGCCTAACATAGTGGGTTTTCTCCGGGTCATCCAGTTTCCTCTCACTGCTAAAGACGCTCATAAGCGCAAGTGAATTAATGAAATGAAATTGTCTCATATTTTAGTCTCAAAATGACCTAGTTCGTGTTGAGAGGACATAAAAACCATTTCGCTCTCTCTATACTATATAGGTACCTAGATAATCATATCTATAAAGTCATTGTTTTAAGTGATCGTCACGATTATCAAGTCAATCAAACAGTTTAACAATGAAATTCCCTAAATGAAGTTTGTACAGTACACAAACTAACCTGCATCAAGTATGTTACAATAGAATAAACTCTTTTATCTTTTCTTGCTGGTTCTATGATCCAACCACTCGGTAATAACTAGAAAATATACCAATAAATACTACACAATATGAAAATGATAATTACATTAATAACAAAATTAAAACAGAAATAAAAAATGCACCAATTCTATTTGTTTTAGTTTAAATTCCACAATTAGACACTATAGGCCATCAACAAAATACATTTTCAAGAAAAACAAAGTGTCTTTAAGTTTTTCTTAACACAAATCCATACAAACTCAAATGAACTATAAAGTTTGGGGACATTTTCCAGCTTATGATAGTGCTTTATATAATTGAATTTGGGCCTTAAACATACATTATGCAAGAGCTAAATCAGTATATTGCAGGTCTTTCTTTAGGCCTGAAATGTTATCTAAATTATTATTAATTAGACATTTATTAACAAAACAAGACCATAATCGACTCTCGATGGCATCAGATACTCTAGATTTTAACTAGATTAAAACAGTTTGCCATTTAAAAATTTAATTTAAAAATGGGAAAGCGAGGCTAAGTCCCGATTATACCAGTGCCCAGGTTACCACTGTGCACACATCTTGTCAAAACTACAAACAATGATAACTTGGCTGAGAATGAAGTAATTTGAATGAAATTTTCAATATTTTCTTTTTTTATCATCTATTTTTGAATTATTATAGCAAGAATGACCAACTCTTTATTAAACTCTTAACTAATGTATCTTTAAACACTGGTGCATAAAAATCATGAAATATGCTGCAATTCGGATTTCCCTATAAAAAAACAGCCATCATAAGTTGGTAACTAAAGGAGAACTCATGCCATCGAGATTCCCCTGTAATGTCACAGACATGATACTTTATAAATTAAAGGAGAACTTGAGCCATAAAGATTCCCCCTACATCACAGTCATCATCCATGTTAATTAAATACAAACCAATTTGTACATTGGGTTGTGAATGATAGAAACTATATATTTCAGTAAAAGACATGAATAAACAATTGCAAGGGTTGAAGTTCTCCTTTAAAGTGTAATCTGATGAAAACCATAATGTTATTGATACATACCGTAGGTTTAATACATGATTCACTTGAAGGTTCAGTTGGTTTATAATCTATAGTTTGATATGAGAGAGTATACTTTTCACTGTCTTTTCTCTCACTCTGTAAAACACACATCTCACAACAATCTTTACGTAATAACTGTTGTACTTCATGATACTGATAAACTGTTGATAAAAACAGATATTATTACACTGATAGATTGTTGATAAAAACAAGTATTATTACACTGATAAATTGTTGCGAAAAACAAGTATTTTTACACTGATAAACTGTTAAAACATAATTGTGTTCTATTGTGTTCAACCACAAAGCGGTGATAATTCGATCCTTTTGTCATGCACAAATGATTTATTTGTGAGTTTTAACCTATGAGTCATATATGAGCAGTCACACTGATCCTACAGAAACTGTATCTATACATACCTATTTTCATTCTATCAGAGATTTTTTCTAAAATATCGACTTTCTGAAATTAAAATACATTAAAAAATTAATTCCAACTTGATCTTTTCCTATCAGCAACATGTAACAAACAGCAACAAAAAATATTCATGAATTATATAGCATGAAAACAGTGTTAGTCCTGAAAAATAATGCTTTTTATTCATGTTACAATACAGAGCTATCATACATGTGGAGGTGCTGCTTTTGGTGGACACTAAACATTTATAGCATACCAAAACGTTTCTTCATTTGTATGCTAACCTACACTCATTCAACAACAGAGATTTGTGTCAGAACCAGTCGATACCTTATGAAAAAGGTAATATCCTGAATTCAGATATCCCAAATAAAAATATTGTTTCAATAACCCCCCACCCCCAAAAAGACCCCAACAAAGTAATATTTTGAAAACAAATTTACAGGTCAGGAGATATACCTCTTATTTTCCTTGTAGAGTCTGAAATGAATAGTTTAAAAAAAAGGTCACCAAATTTGGCAAATCTCCTTTAAATATTAAACCATATTTTCTATTTCCAGTGCACTACAGTTACCTGGACAATGATATAACATATTGTGAAAGATGAACAATATCTACAATACCATTCATTAACATACCTTTAAAGTCTCATCATATGTAAATCTTGTTCGTGGATTTTTTAGATTCTCCCAGACTATTTTAGGTGGAGCTTGAATTAAACCTTTACCCATATAACTAGATAAAGAATAAAATAATTGGCAAAACATTTTACAAAAATACACATATTCAAACAGAACAGTAACAGGTTGCCAGGCAATGAAACACAGACCACAGTCGTCAGAGCCGTCTATTAGTTATATCACGCTATGAATTTTTAAGTAAATAAAAAGCAAAATCTTTATAATATAAATTATGTGTTGACAAGATTTTGTGTTATAGTCAATGGAAATAAATCTACAAGTAGTTGTCAGGCATTGGTGTAATTGTTATTCATCGCAATAATCGAAAATAAGAACATAAATCTAAAGTAGATCAGATAATGACTTTCTGTGTTAAAAAATTCGCAAGTTTCTGCAAAGTCAGCTAGATAAATTTCAACTAGATTGGATTATAACGCTGTTTAACCCTTTCATTGCGTCTAACCGGTAGTACCGGGTTTTATAAAATGTCATTAAAATACACGTACCCGGTATTACCGTGTACTCAGTAAAGCCCTCGCTAAAATTAGTACCGTAACTGCAAGTGCCATCTATTGTATTTTCTATACACTATAACATATTTCCACGTGTTTCAAAGCGGCAAACCGTAAAATGGCGGAGTGCATAGTGACAACGTACTTGAACGTAGACAATGCACTCTCGATGAAGTCGTGAATGACGTCTTGCGGACCAACACGTGGACAATTTCGAGGCGGGTGATACACATAATTCGTTACTTGATAATGATAGTAGTAAGGACAGTGATTGGTATTCCTGAGTCCCGAACGTGTAGATCTATTGACTGACTATATTGATAATGATATGAGACTTGGGGATGAAAGTGAAAGTGAAAGTGAAAACAAGGTATTGCAATCTGCACGTGGTGATGACAGCGGGAGACGTGATACGCGTGTTCGTGGTGGCATTGCTCATGGCTGCTATTGATATTTTTGTTCAATTTATATATCTAATGAAAAAAACAATATCTCATAAGTATTTCATTGAGAAAAATTCGTTTTCGTGTTAGCTTTAGTGAAAAATGAGAAATCCAAAATGGCCACCATGACGTCACGTGACTACATTATTATGCAAATTTCCAAAATGCTATTTTTTCCTCTTAGCCCAACCTCATGCCCATCTATTCCTTTCTTTCAATCTTTTGCATGTTTAGATGGAGTAATGTTGTCAGTACTTACCACTGAACTGTACAGGGTTCTTTAAAAACTTTCTTTAACATAACAATATCATTCTCTATACCAGTAAATCTGTATGTAAAAAATTATAGTATAAAAACAGATTTATAACTCTAAAAGTTGTGTCAGATATTTCAACTATGGTTAAAGTCAGTGATCCTGACTTATAGTATACCATCACACTGTGTGCTTTAGTATTTCAAATCATTGAAAGTAAATACATAAACAATTCTCCCTGAACCGAGTACAGACTAAAATCATTCGGAATAACAATATGTTATATCCTGTTTGAATGATAGAAATGGAGGATGATTATGGGTGAGGTATTTAATACTTACACCCAACCCCTAGGTGATTAAAATGAGTTATCAAATAGTTGCACCAAACAATTAGATGACTATAATTTGATATCTAATACTTACACCCAACCATTAGCCGATTATAATGCCATTAGATGATTACAATGAGGTATTGATTATAAATACTTAGATCATTATTATGAGGTACTAAATACTTACACCTAGCCATTAGATGATCATAATGAGGTATAAAAATACTCATACTCAAACATTAGATGATTATAATGAGGTATCAAATACTTACACCCAACAATTAGATGATTATAATGAGGTATTAAATACTTACTCCCAAATTCTAGATGATTATAATCGGATATTAAATACATGTACACCCAACCATTAGACGATTATAAGGTATTAAATACTTACACCCAACCATCGGATGATTATAAGGAGGTATTAGAGGAATATAAATGAGTATTAAATACATAGAGCCAACCATTAGATGGCTATTAATGAGGTATTAAATACTTACACCCAAACATAAAATGATTATGATAAGGTATTTAATACTTAAACCCATTAGATGATTATAATGAAGCATTAAATACTTACATCTAAACCATTAGATGATTATATAAATACTTACACCCAACCATTAGGTGTAGGATAAAGCATGAGACTGAGGTTATGCTGGGGAAAGAAAGACAGAAGAAAATAATCTGAGAAAAAGAAAAACTGAGATTGACAGGCCAAGGTTTTTCTTTCAAGGTTTTTTCTGAAGTCTTTCTTCCCCAGCATAACCAAAGTCGAGGACTTATAAACCGCCTATGTTTACATGTATGTAAAATTAGAATATCCCAGAATTCCAGTAAGAAAAACCTTATTTCATGTTTTCTTATGGAAAATAAAAACCTACCCGGAAGAATAACCTGTAACAGGTTTAAAGAAACATTTCTAGAAGAATAAAACCAAATTCCCCTGTATATATTCAGAGTGGCCCCCAACTTTCATACTGCAAGTTATTTCGGGCATAGAATATACCTCACATATCAAAGAGATTTAGCGCTATAGGTTTATAAATAATTATAATGAGGTATTAAATACTTACACCCAACCATTAGATGATTCAGCTTGTTCTTCAACAGATTTATCTAGTTCTATATTAGAGGCTTTCAACGCTTCAGCCATTATCTCTCCTGCAGCAAAATTAGCTAATGTTTTATACTGACTTTCGCTTGGATCTGTAATGAATTAATAAACACAACACTTAAAACCCATTACAGTATTATTATGAATTTTCATTTGACAATGAATATATTTAAATGTTGTGATAAATCAAATGAATTGGGATTTAAGAAAAGTTGTGGTAATATAGGTAATAAATTCAGTGTTATCATCAAACTGAATACTTATTTTGTCATTTGAATAATCACTGCATATTCAAATATTTCATTCAATTCAAATGGTCCATGCTTTGATTGTTTTTGGCATATTTTTAGATTTCTAGAAATTGTGAATCCCTGAAAGTAATATATTTCATTATCTGTGTATTTATATTAACATTTGTTGATTTCAATAAATTTGTAATCGAATAATAAATAATATCAAAAACTAATTAAATTCAAATATTTGTGTTAGCATTAATGTCATCCATTACAATCATTTTGATTTGTTAACAAGTTTGAAAAATCCAGAAACGGTATATATTTTAATACCTGATGGTGATCTAGTCAAAGGAATAGATTTAGTTTGAGATCCATCTGTTTCACTGGCTGATACATTACTATCTACGTCTGCTTGATCTGTTCTACTTATATTGGTGGCTAGATCATCGCGGTCTTGACTAGATTCATTACTACTGCTTCTCACTAAAGGCTCTTTTTTTTTCACGCTGCTACTTCCCTCATCTCGCTGTAAACTAGATGAACGATATCGTAATATAGAATTGTATCGTTTTAACTCTGATTTTTGCAGTTCTAAAAGTTTTCCCGAGTTTCCTGACATGAAAGAACGAACACGCGTGAGAAAACGTGTTGGATTTCGTTTTGTCCCGTCAATTTGATCGACAGAGCCGTTTGGCTCTGACTTAGTTTCTATTTGAGCTGGACTTGGCATTGTGAGTGTTGATAGCGGTGTTCCCACAAGTTTTCGATTAATTAAATATTCCTCTAATGCTGATAAATTTCTAGCAGAATAACTGCTTGATTTTGTTTCATCTTCTTGTCCACAATGGCTGATGATTGATAACATACATTGGTCAGTTTCTGTTAAGTAAAAATAAAAAATAAAAAAGGAAATTACTTTCAGAAAAACATCAGTTCTAAAATAGTACATATTATATTACATTGAAGAGTACTTCTCCGTTATTTTCATTCTCATTAAGAAAATAAATGTCATTAAATTTTGTTTATAATGTATCATATCCAAAATAAACTTGGCTAAACTTTTTATTAAAAATCTTAATTCTATTAAGTTTAACATAGATAATAATATGACTGTAGCATGTCCCTACTTATACATGTAATTAGGCCACATAAAGAAATTGTTTTAACAGGGTCGTATGACATGTTTGCATTTCTTGAACTGAGGTGAGGCATTTATATTAGACATTCCCAGTTGAATTTGAAAGTGTCCAGCAAGCTCAGCTATCATGTACACAAAACCAATAAATAAGATTAATAATTATAAATGGCGATATGCGATTATGGACAATGATGAATTGACTATTTTTTTCAGGAAATGGCGATCGCTGATCCTTCAATTTAAGTCCTCGAGATATTTTCAGACCATTCTTTTGCATATGATAATTATCCTGCAAACTTTATCTAGTAATCTGTGCTTTTGTTGCTAGACTGAGAACCAGAGTATTCATTTAGTACGGCCTAATATACATCAAACTCTATACAGAATCAAACATAACTTGACACTTTAAATGGAAAATGTTTCTGTTTTGATTGATTTCCTTTAGAAATATATAATAAAGAGAATAATTTAAATGACAAATAAGATAATATAAGAAGTAAAAAAAGTAAATATCCAGAGTCAAACAAAAAATAAATATAGATAGGCATTAAAATAGCTTCTTTAAATACAAATCTGATATCATTAAAATGAAAAAACAGTTGTTTTTCCCCGTACAGACATTCCCTAACATTCCAAACAGGTGTTATATTCAGATAGAATCAAGAAATAGTTAAGCATTTAAAATATTGCTACTGTTTGTGAGTGAATATTTATAATTTTGTTATATAATTACAATAATGATTGTTACATTGGTTTGTCCAAATCATGTCTCTAGTCTTCATCAGCGTACCGTATTCAAGCAAATAAGCAATTACCAGTATGTACTCAAAAATTTTGATGCAAGAAAATATTCAAATATGCACATAGTTAATAAAAAGGCTTCATTTCACATCTTAATTTGTGCATTACCGATATCAATGGCAATATATTTCAATAAAAAAAGTACACCTATTTAAAATGATGTAATCCTTCCTTTTATCGAATGTAAGAATCAGTTTTGAAGCCAATAAACCAATAATCAATCCCCTACACAGTTTCTTAAAGAAATAAATAATATAATAAAGATACCGTCTACGTTACCCCCATAACCATCCATGCCATGTGCTATAAACAGAGAGGGGAGATAACTCATTATAAACGATACCGACCAAACCAACCTTCTACAGGCTGAGCGAGATAAAATGTCCATTTCTGTCCAGCTTCATTTATTTGTAACAACCAACAGCATCCATTCTCTTCACGATTAGAATACCTGTAATGTATTAACAAAGATATAGATGTAAATTAATATTCAGGGAGTGAGTACTGAACACTGAATTTGTTGTACTTTAATAGAATTTTTATTTCAAATTTGAAATAAATTTTTCCCAGATGCAACATCAATTTATCATTTTCTCTTCATCCCAATTCTTAAACTTTTCTCTTTTTTTTTTCAGCTACTAAAATAGACATAGGGCAATTAGTTATCCCTTCTTGATGAAAATATACAGATTAGAAATACATTTGGTTAGATTACTAACTTATCAATACTTATCTTCAGTTAACTATTTCAGATCAACACTAAATCTTCAGTTCATTATTTCAAGACAGATTCAGTGATGGGATTTTCCCGTATATTCCGGACATGTCCGACGCTATTTTCCAAACGTCGTAAATTGTCCGACCAGGAATATGCCGAATCGGACATCAAGACATGGTAAATAATATTCAAAATTCCTAAATTAATATAGTGTACTGAGTGTACAACTACCACTCAACCCGATTATCGTTGATAATAGGCTGGATTGATTAGGTAATTAAGTGATCAACGTATTTATCGTTTTATACGGTCTATACACATACCTTGATTAACTACGTACTTAATCTACCTTGATTGACTGACTTAATTCTTTGTCGGACAATTCATCAATTCAATCCTGAACAGAAGTCATTGCTTCTCCTTTGTCAGGCTATATATCAATCCAATAAACTTAATCTATGTGATTAATCCTTGATTTCTTTATTGTCTCACGTTTTAATCTCCTTGATGTTGGCTGTAGTCATATATGTCACATATCCTGATAGTATATAACACCCCAAATCAATATACATTGTGTCTGATAACTTGTCTGTGATATTTCTTCAGTGGAAGGAAGCCGAAGTTAAATAAAGCTATTTCACACACACGCAAAATGAAAGTAGAAATCTCGCGAGACACGTGGAATTAAGAGGTGTAAACGTGCCGAATCTAATACGTCTGTTGTCGGGAGAAAAGATTCTATTTTGATGGCATATTGTCGGATTTATGATCATATTTTGAATGGGGTTTATGTTTTTAAATAAATAAATAAACACGCTAAAACATGTTGACGAATATTTTGATTGGAATAACGTAAGTAGTTACGGTAATTGTTTTAGACGATAGCACATGCTTCGAGTCGAATGGGATTTTTTAGCACTTGGTGTCACTCGCTCGTTGTATTATAGAGCAATGTTTACTACCGTTTACGGTCAATTATTTTACCTTCCGTATATAAATCGAAACAGAGTATAGGACGAATGCCGGACTTCGCTGAAAAATGTATCAACTTATGACCCGAAAAATACGGTAAATTTGGGGGAATTTGAAACCGGTACGGATGGGCAGTAGTCGGCACGCTTTCATTCTATACTGTCATGTAATTTTGTAGGAATATTATTGACATAAATTTGAATACCATACGGGAATTAAATGTGAAAAATAACGAGGTGCACCTACTTTTTTTATTGCGTATGAATTTGAATATTTTGTTGACACGTGATTCTTAATTGTGGTTTGAAAACGCCTGCTTAAATAATGATAAGAGTTATGTCCCTTTATTTTCGGGAAGAAAATGTCCGACAACTAAAATTTTGAAATCCCATCACTGGTTAGACTCCTTTATTCAGTTAACAATTTTAGATCAACACTAATTAAATCATTTCAGATCAATGATTAATCTTCAGTTAATCATTTCAGATCAACATTTAATCTTCAGTTAATTATTTCAGATCAACATTTAATCTTCAGTTAACTATTTCAGATCAACACTTAACATATTCAGTTAACTATTTCAAATGCAGTTCAGCTACTGAATATTGTCGGATTTGCTATTTTAGGCAAACTTCTGACTTGTACGGCATCTCCCAGGTTAGAGTCACTGAATATTTTAGCGACATGTACACAAGGTTTGACAAGTGTGTTTTTAGTCTATTACCATATAGCATTTCTAGCATGCCGAATTTTGAAAGAAAATTTACTAGGTTTACCTCCATTATACCAATAAACTTACCGACTGTATTCTTCGGTGACTGTCTGTGTAACAAGTGACTCCCAAGATGGCTGATTTAGCCATGTTGATTTACGATAAACCTTTTCTTCCTTGATAATATCATGATGTACATGAGGCGTTGTTCTGGATTTGGTTGGAGTTTCTTGCGGCGTTGTTGAGGTGAGGACGAAGGACGTTGCTATGACGCCAGGTTTCCATTCACAAGTTAAAGAAATGTCTTTTAACAACTGAAGAACAAACTGGAAAAAAATTGCATATTTGTTCCATTAAATTTTACTACTAACAGAAAGAAATTTATTATTATAGAATTATTTCAACAGTATTGATTTTACAATGATTGAGAGAGAGAGAGAGAGAGAGAGAGAGGGAGAGAGGGGGAGAGAGAGAGAGGGAGATGGGTGTTAACGTCTCGACACAAACTAGGTCATTTCGGGACTGGTTCAATTTTATTTCATTAATTCGCTTGCTTGTAGGTGTCTTTAGCAGTGAGGGGAAACCAGGGGACCCAGAGAAAACCCACGAGGGTGGACAGGCAACCCTACTTCTTGTCACGTACAAGTGGTGAATCGAAACCACACCACCTGATTCAATGATAGACCTTATGATGCAACCCGCACATGCTAACCATTCGGTCATTTAACCCCCCTCATAGATAAACAGAAGACAAACGCACATACAAGCCAAATAATACCACAGTGAAATTGTAGGCTATAAACATTAAAAGTATGATCAAATCAAGAGAATGATGGTTTTGAATCTTCCAAGAAGTTGGTCAAATAAAGTTGGTTTATTCAAAACAGTAATTAAAACACATTTCGGTTTCTATTAAGGGCGCTAAATCACTAATATTTGGGACTTAGAAATTGACACAAATGGGTCGCAACGCATATAATAATGTAATATGAATGTATTTTTACTCTCATTTCAAATCACGTTATGTTTGGCTAAATACGCTGGACGTCTCAATCGAATGGCAATCTCTAGCGTCTGGATATTTCAGTCTAATAATAGTATTTATCGCACATGCTCTCCAGATAAGAATATGATGTCCCTGTTTCACATAACTTGTGGAATATGTCTAGCCTCGTTTTTCGAGTCCCTTTATGGTACAAGATTCGTGTACTAATGGTAAAATGTTTATTTTGTCTTCAATATTTGATATCAGAAGTCCATCTTTTCCTGGTAAAATAACAATATCAATATTGATTTTAACTGACAAACAATCGTGTTTTCAATTACGAAAACTTTGGATGATCTGGAGTTAGAGACTTTAAGCTGTTGTCATGTATGGGGCAGTCCTCTTGAACTATTAGATACCATTATTAGATCTTTTCTTTTTTGTCTGTTGTGTGGTAAGATTATAGTTCAATCATGATCGCTCATTTGCAATCCATTATTTAGCTCACCTGTGAGGAAGCACGGACTTTACTGTAAGCTCCATAAACTTTGACATTGTTGAGAACTTGATGACCATCGGGCTGAGTGAGAAAATGAAACCAGACTCGATGTCCATGAGAGAAGCTATCAATCTTCCAACCCTTCTGACAGGATACTGGAAATGGCTGAAAACAGATTCCAAAAAGGTAAAGGTCTGTAGACAGTCTAGGTACATAATTAATCAATACCGCACAAATTACTAATCACTTTCTTTTTTTAGATACTGAAGATTTATGATGACTTCTTTCAATTAATGTCCAATACTAGTAAATGTCATTAAAGTGAATACCGATAGTTGGATCTACTTTTCAGTGTCTGTTCTACTGAATTGAAAAGCCCTTCTTGATTATATCATAATTAGTACATTTACAATTGAGAGTTGTGAAATGCCATGTACCCAAAGTCAGTGGCATGCAAGGTGTTGGTTATTGATTGTATGTCATCATGGCTCAAGTATAATGTAGGACTCAGAAATGTGAGAAAGTATATAAAACAGATGAAATAAACTTTTCAATCAAATTAAGTATGGCACCTTGTACTCGAGCTCGAACATCAGACACAGTGTCACAGACATTGTCGGGTACAAATTAACATACTGTATAACATATATATATATATATACATTGTGATAATTTGTACTCGACAAAGTCTGTGACAGGTTCCTTATATCCAGGCTTACGATGATTTCAAATAGCCAAATTTTAATTTCATTCTTTGATTACATGCCACTTCCTGTCACTGAAATTTAGTCAGGCATGTTTATACAATATGAAATTCTACAGAAGTATTTATAATACATGTACATCATATGAGAGAGAGAGAAATGAGATTTAACGTCCACTCGACACAAACTAGGTCATTTCGGGACTAACATATGGTTTAATTTTATTTACATAATTCGCTTGCATGTAGGGGTCTTTAGCAGTGGGAGGAAACCGGAGGACCAGGAGAAAACCCACGAGGTTGGACAGGCGACCCTACTCCTTGCCACATACAACCGGGGATTCGAAACCACACCAGTCGACTGAATGACAGACTTTATGATACAGCGCGCACGCTAATCATTCAGCCATCCAACCCCCCCCCCGTACATCATATGGGAGTTACATGTACGTTAAGACTTCATTACAGCATTCACTATACCATGGCATGGGTAACACCATAATATAATGTTCACTTTATTAAAACAGGCTTTTGTGGCATACCATACATGCAGGGCTTGTGCTACCATTAGGTCAGGTGAGTGCATGCTGACCTTTGACAGTCACAGTTTTTGAGAAAATAATCAAATATTGATATACTACCACACTTTATAATCTAAAACTAATTAAACTGTTTCAAGCTCATGCTTTCATTTTTTTTCCTGTAAACATCTTTCTGTAAAGATCAATGTTAGCACAGAAATGAGCTGGCCTTGTCCTGGGAACAAAATAGGCTGGTCTGGAAAAAGCCTTGTATGTTACATGTACCAAGTTGATTAAATTATCACCTTTGAAAATTTTAAAAGATCTAAAACATCCTTTGATGTCAACCTTCCTTCAATCTGAAAATACAAAATAAAAACAATATATAGATTTAGCTTACATATTATATGAAAATGATTACATTAATACTTTAAATGAAATGTATTGGCTCAGTGTGTAAGGTGCTAGCTCATTTAGCCAGGAGGTCCTGGGTTTGATCTGAGAAAGTTCCATGGGATTTTTCAGGCTGTTTTCACATCATTATAAATTAGTGGTATAGGAAGAAAGATACTGGCAAGAAAGAGTGTCTGGTCATTCAAACAGAATGAGAAACAAAAAGAACTCTTGTCAAATGCAATTCAACGAAGACTAGACGTAATGTTGCTGTCCTCGCAAAAGGTCACTCAAAGCACACTGCTTAACACTCCCACCTTTATGAAGACTGCATTTGTCAGAATAACTGTATAAAAATCTCCTAAAAAACATTATTATAATAGAAATATATGTTCAACTGGTTTTAAAAACTTGTTTCAATTGAGTCTCTAAGTCCGATGTAAAACAAGCCAATAAAGAGGCTGATGTCCCCTGCTGAAATCCGAAAATAAACAGATGACAAATATTAATTAATTACCCATTTACCTTTTTCAAAAGTATCAAGCAAACTAATTACCTATACTTAGTCTAACCAGAAACTGTTAACGGTCAAACTCAGTCAAGGTTTTAAAGTACCTGGGCCCTGTTTCACAAAAACTTCAATCTCCTTAAAATCATCTTAAACTAAAATTCCATCCTAACTTAAGGTAGATGTGTTTCACAAAACGATTTTAAGCATTTTAGATAAAATCCACTAAAATAATATTGTAAGTTAATATTCTATCTTAACTTAAAATAGTGGCGTTTCACAAAGCTATTTTAGGGACAATTTTACCTAAAATCAATTTTAACTTAGGACAGCCGTCACCCTCTCCTAACTTAAAATCACGACATTAACAAACATTGATTAGAGCTACGTTGTGGGATCTATTGCGACATATGGATATATTTGGAATAATGATAATATTGTCATTGTCCCGGGTTGTATAATTTAAACATACTATCATTCACAAAAATAATTTTCATTCATTTTTTTTTTCATTTCATGGGAAATGGTAATATAAGCAATTAGATGATACCCCAAATAAAAACCCCAAGAACAAAAGAACCCCTCAAAACTCTTTGTTACTATTTTATATATTACCATGATTCAAGTATAAATAATATTATTTTCAAATAATTAATAGACCCCCCTCCCCCTCAAAAAAAAATCCTAAAAAAATCTAAACACACTTCATATCTAATGTCTAAAAAAAAATATTTTTGTAGGCCTACAATTGTTTAAAATGAGAGAGAGAGAGAGAGAGAGAGAGAGAGAGAGGGAGGCTTTTCAGGACTAACACATGGTTCAATTTTATTTGAATAATTCGCTTGGGCGTAGGGGTCTTTAGTAGTGGGAGGACACCGGAGGTCCCGGAGAAAACCCAAGAGGTTGGACGTATAACCGGGCAATCGAAACCCCGTCAGTCCTATAATACTAGATACGCCATATGCAAAGTAAATGAAATGAAATGAAAATGAAATGAAAATGAAATGAAATGGGGTTTAAGTCCTACTGTTTTGCTCCTATACTGGGCTAATAAAGATGGGCATACGCCATACAGTGTGCGATGAGGGAAATTTTGCCACCTATCACCTACTCTTATATCGAAATCCGACTGCCAGGGGATCTTTACGTGCATTCCAATATATACACGGGACCTCGGTTTTTCGTCTCATCCGAAGGACTAGACAGCTGTCCTTGTCAGGCCCTGCCTCCTGCATCACTGACAAGGGGGAACCAAGCCGGGAACATATGCAAAGTATTTATGGCTTTGGGGTTATGATGATTTATATCGGAGCCAAGGGTATTTTATATTGGGAATAGATAGGCATTATCCAATAAGGAGTGTGGCACTTTGGCATTTTCAAATTAGTATTGAAAGGGTCCATGGGACTGACATTTCAAATCTAGGCATCGCCGGGACATTGGTTATTTCGTGTATTAATTTAAAAGTTATTAAATACTTTTAAAAATCGACAATAGTTTAGTCTAGATTAATCGTTTGAGTCAGAAATATCACATGTTTGTGACAATTTCTCAGTAGTTTCTGTTATCTAAAATACCATAAAACTACGAAATTCAAGCGATTTAGTTTATCGATACACATTATTTCCATTGAAGCCTGCGAGTAAATCAAATGCCAAGGTCACGAAAGCAACATGCAAGTTCAAGGCCAACCAACTGATACATTTCAAAACAAAAAACATGTAAAAAACTTATTTATTTCATCTCTCTACGATTGACTGACCATGTGCAGACATTGTTACAACGTATGAAACCCCCTCATTGGTATTGTAACGGTTAGTTCAACCTGGCAACAGTTTTCAGTTCCGAAGCGTGTACACTCACACCCTATGTGCCCTCACTGGAATTGTGCACTGTGCGAGAGCGAAAGCAATTTTAACTAAAATCTATTCAAATTGCATTTTAAGTTACAATCGATCTTCGTGAAACGCTTAAAATTTAAAATTTCATTTTGATTTTAGTTAAAATCTATTTTAATGATTTTAGTATAAGTTTTTGTGAAACAGGGCCCTGGTGTGAAACTATACATTAAGTTTCATCACTCTTCATCAGTTAGAATCAAAGCATCGACAAATGAAATTACTTACCTCTGCTTAGATTTAGCAGAAAATGTTAATCCCTGAATTCAGTCAAGACATTCACCTAATGAACATCAAGTTTAAACATTCTACCAGTCAAATTGCTTAGCCTATGCAGAAAATTCTCCTCATCGAACTTAGTCAAATAAGATATTGATATAATGAATCTATACTCAGTTCCATCACTCTCACCCAATTAGAACCAAAGTTATCATTTTCCAAAGTCTCAACCAAATTGCTTATCTCTGCTTAGTGGAAAACGCGCATGATCGTACTCTGCCAAGGCATTCACCTAATAGACACCTACACAACGTTTGAAGATCCTATCCCAATTAGAAGGAGAGTTATTGTGTTCCAAAAGTCTCAACTATTCAAATTCTTTATCGCTCTGCTTACCCTAAGCAGAAAATGCTCATTATTGAACTTAGTCAAGGTATTGATGTAATGAAACTATACACCAAGTTTCACCACTTAATTAGAGCTAAAGTTATTGTGTCCCAAAGCATCAACCAATCAAATTGCTTACCCTACGCAGAAAATGCTCATCTTCAAACCCCACCAAGGCATTCACCCAATAAACACCTACACCAAGTTTGAACATTCTAGCTCAATTAGAGGGAGAGTTATTGTGTCCCAAAAAGAGTGATGGATGGACAGACAGACCCATTTTAATAGTCCCCTGCTTTCTTCGAAAGGCGGGGGACAATATAATTTAACAGTTTATTACCTTACATAGGTTGTTGTTTAATGTCTAATACATAGTATTATGGACAGGTTTATCAAGTTATTTACATATGAAAGAGTAATATACAGAAAATGGGTGAAAACACGAAAAAAGTACATGTAGGTCTAGTGCTTTAATAAAATAGTGAAATTGGTGTCCAATAATGACACTCACATTATACACGAAGAGAGAGAGAGAGAGAGAGAGAGAGAGATGTGGTTTAACATCTACTCAACATAAACCAGGTCATTTCGGGACTAACACATGTTTCAATTTTATTACAATAATTTGCTTGTGCGTAGGGGTCTGTACGTAGCAGTGGGAGGAAATCGGAGGACCCAGAGAAAACCCACTAGGTTGGACACTGGACAGGTCACCCTACTCCTTGTCAGGTACTAGTGAGGAATTGAAACCACACCACTTGACTCAATGACAGACTTTATGATGCAACGTGCAAACGCTAACCAATCTGCTCCCCCCCACACACACATTATATAGTATAGTATAGTATAATATAATATAGAATAGTACACATAGTTCTACTATATTCTAAACTGCTTTATGGCTAAATAAAAGTACAATTATTTTAATTAAACCACTTCTGATAAAATTACTCTAGATGCAAACTATTAAATGGATTTCATGTAAACCTTGATAATTTTCAAACAGCTGTTGGGAGTTTATTTATAGCTGATTCATCTGGCAGTTTACTGACATCTTATCAATTTTATAAAAAAATAAACTAATATCCACTTGGCTAATGGAAAAAGCAGTCAACCGTTTGGAAGTTTAATTTGAAATTAAGGTGAACCAGACATTGATTGCTAGGGTGTACTAGAGCCTGGTCCACCTAAAATTATTTTCTGAAAGCAGATTTATAGTGCTCATTTAGAAAACTTTACAAATGAATATGTAGAATATACAAAGTAATACTAATATGTGGTATTATTTGCAAACCAGTTCATTTGATTTGATTGAGAAGCTTACCATAATTATATACTACACGTATAACATGTTTTAATTCATTGTCTCTATTTTCATTAATAAGATAATATACACAGTTTACTACAATTTAAAACTATTTTTTGCCATGATCTACACATTACTATATATACATGCATATCTATTATATTTTTACTGTACATCCCAATTGTAAATGGGAGTACACTATCTGGCTTACATGACTGTGGTATTTTATTTAATACAATTGGTGATTCATCTTGTCAAATAAATCATAATTACTCTGAAAATATAGTATTGTTATCTTAAATACATTACATTACAGAGAATAAACAGTAAATATGTAATAAAATAAATCAATTCCTTAATGATGTGTTAATGACCTGTGTATAATTTATACACACTAACACTGAATAAATTTTATATGTCCCAGTTTAGAGAAGTATAGAAAAGCCTATAGTATAGTGTTAGGGTTGTCATACATGTAGAACTCCACCTGTTATACAAGTGGCAATAACCTCTGTAAGAGTTTATTAGGGTTTCACACTGGGTAGCCAGTGTGAAACACTATTGTTTTTGTTCGGATTATTATTGTCATTAGGCTTTCAGACTTTCGTCTGAAAGCCTTTTGAGATTACTAAAATTATTATTAGGCTT